AAATACTTCGAAGTTTTCTTTTAACTTCGTAAGATTCGTCTAATTAATCATTTTGTTAAAATTTAATTAAAAAAATGATAATAATAATTGAATGTAAATACTAACAAAACTTAAATTATTATTTAGATTTATAAATTCTATTTTTAATAAACTTTTGACTAGATGTAAAGATTTAATATTATAGATCAACAATGCTAAGACTTTAATTCTTATGTACGTAATGTTATACGCATGTTAATGACATTTTTCTGTTCTTATCTAGTCCATATGTTAATAAAAAATTATAGTTCATCAATAAACCTCAATTAGCAAGACAAAAATATATATCCTCAGTCTATATATATATTTACCTTTTCATTGGGTACTTATTGTTATTTGTAGAATCAAATAGAAATAATAAAGTAATCTTCTCTTATTGTTCATCGAGTAAGAAATTATATAAACTTTTCCTATCCAAAAAATAGGTAATGCTCTATTATCAAATATTCTTTTTCAATCAAGTTAAAACATACCATTATGAGTAAGTAAAAAAAAAATACCAAGGAAAAGGTTTTGATGACTTCTTTCAATATTATTATTGTCACGTTTTGGTATTTCAGCAATTTTATTACGAAGTAAAAAGAAAAGAATTTATTTGACTATGCATATTAAATTTCATAAAAATACAGCAAAGACAAACGGTCAAAAATTTTATTCAAGTTTCAAATAATGATGTAAAAATATCATATTAAAATTAGTTATTAATGCTAATGTTTTCAGCATTATTGTTCAAATAACCTTAATGTTTTGATATTTCTTGCATTAAAACTAATGCAATGCAAATATGTTAGCATTAAATTATCATTATTATAAATGATAATTAGACATCAGACAATCTAAATTCAGAAGTTCTCAAAATCAAACAAATTTGTTCTTTTTTGGAAATGTCATTCATGATTACAATAATATTTATTCTCTTTTGATAATGGTGCTTTCAGACATAGAAAATTTTTATTTTATATAGAGCATGATACTTTCAGGTGTAAAAGATCTTTGTTCTATTATAGGAGGCAGCGTTCGAACCGGTCCGGTCAGACCGAATCGGTAGAGATCGAAATTTCACCGGTTGAAAGTGTTCAAAAATTTTCTTTGTTAACCCTGTTTTTTAACTACAAAAACTAAGATGTCACATGTTTTTTCTGTTAGAATGCGTAAAAAAAAGTGCTCAAAACATATGTTATATTAATCATTTTTTCTGAGATTCTCTTTAAAAAGATTCATTATGATGAGTATCTTTTATATGCGCCCTAAACTAGGGCTGTACCGCTCACGCTCATGAACGCTCATATGAGCGTGAGCGATTTTTCGCTGACGCTCATGCTCACGTGAAGGGCGGTCGCTCACGCTCATATGAGCGCACATGAGCGTGAGCGGTACAGCCCTAGTCATATGAGCGTGAGCGACCACCCCTCACCTGAGCATGAGCGTAGGGCTGTACCACTCACGCTCATGAGCGCTGATATGAGCGTGAGCGCTTTTTTGCTAACGCTCATATGAACGTGAGCGACCACCCCTCACATGAGCGGTACAGCCCTACCCTAAACTATTTTAGAGTTGGAGCTATTTTTTCTAAAAACCGGTTTTCAGAAAAAAATTTGACGTTTTTCCGTCGGTTTTTAACCGGTTGAACATGTGATTCCAATCGGCCGGACCGAACCGGTTCCAACTTTGATAAGAAGCGTTCAGCATGATTGTTCAGAGGTATAACTGCAGGTAGCATATTTATTAGAATTACTAGTAATACTAATCGTCTTGGTATCAAAAATAATTCTAATGCTGACTATGTAAAATATAAAAACAAATATTAATTTATTTTCGATAGATTCGAAAAAGAAAACATGTTATGTTGAACAACAGAAATATTGAACTAATTTAAAATTCTGTAAGAATAATTTGTTATGGAAAAAAATTCAAGAAAATTTTTATTTTATACCAACTATTGAATACAATTATCTTATTCTTTCTTTTTGCTATTTGAGTTCTTCATTTGATTAGAATCAAAATATTTTCTTCTACTTAGATTGAATATCCTATTCAGTCTAATTGTCATTAAAATACAACATCAAAAAACAGTCCGCATGTTCATAGAAAATAATGAAAGTAAAAAAACTACATGAATTCTTAATCAAAATATATATTAGATTATCTATCTTATTGATTTATCTGATGTAAGAAAAAATAAATATATTGTAACAACAATAGACAATCAATTCTTCGAAATACTTCAAAACTTAGTTGATACCTTTGTATTTCTAAATTTTTTTCATTAGACTATTTCCTATTTGTTTCTAGTTCTGAAACCTACGAAACAATTAAAACTTTGCCCAATGCACGCTCTAATTTTGTCAAAAAAAGCGTTTTGATTAATGATTTTGTCTGCTATTCTCTTTGAAGTATGTACATTAAATAAGTAATAATCATAAATTACTATAATTCACGTTATAGATCTTTTACATATCTCAGTATTACAATCGAATATCTTCATATGTTATATGCAAAGAAATACAAGAATTTTCGAGAACAAAAAAACGTTTGCTTACTGTCGTTGTATACGACGGTTATATAATATGCAACATAGCTATTTACGAAGATTGACAGATTCCATAGCCTCAATCATTAACACGCAACACAAGCACTATTTTATTTTTATCACATTAAAACAATTATTTCAAAATCAAAAAAAATATCAATTATAATCATTATTTTTTTTTGTTTATAGATTTATCTAAAAGATGAATATTATTTTTAAAAACTGGAAAAAAAAACTATCATATCTTGTAATGTATTGCCATCACTTCATTTTAAATCAAAGACTTTGAAAAATTACGACTAGAGAATGTTCTATTCAATCTGTTAATCCTTGAATAATGATTGCATAAAATTAGAGGTGGTTTACTCATACATATGTAAACTTATGAGTGAATTGCAATATTATTTTGTATCATTTGAGAAAAAAAAAAACAATTTCGATTTGAAAGATGGATAAGTAGTACATTTCATTGTACTATATGACACAAGAAAACGAATAAATTTTTCATTGTTGAACAAATAAATAATATATTTAAGTTGACTTTTAATATTTAATTATTATGCACGTTTAAATCTCGTGTGACATATTGACATAATTTTTGTTTTTTGTTTTTATAACACAGAAGTTTTCTGACGTCGATATTTTCAATGATGATTTATTATAATGAATTAATAATAAAATAATCGAATTTTCTCATCAAATTTTTGTTTCATACTCTTGATAAATTATAAGAAATATGATTCTCTACCCTTTTTTTTTTGTTTTACGAGTTTAAAATTTAAACGTGAAAAGAAGAGATAAATTATATGTTTTAATATTAGATGATAAGAAAAATTTATCTTTTAGCTCTTATTTACTTATTATCTTAAGATTTATCAAAGATAAATTTCCCATTGTTTATTTATGATATTGAGAACATATTAGAAGAACTTCACTTACAAGAAAAAAAAAAGCTTTTGTGAAACTCACATATATTTTCTAAGTAAATCGTGAACAGAAGTTTAAATTGAGATTTTTCGATTTCTCCTTCTTAGATTCTAGCAACCAAAAAGTCAAAGAAAAGATATCAATCGAGGAAAACAAACGCTGACTAACACATTAGTAATCGGACTTATAAGAAAACATTTTCAACTGATTAATCGCTTTTGAAATAGTTATAGGCATTGTACGAGAAAATTTCAACTTCTGACATGAAACATATTAATAAATTGAACGGTAGTATTATAATCTAAGATTTTTTTTTCTTCTCATAGACAAATTTATTTGTCAATAAAAATGTCCTAAATATTTCATCACAGAGAAATATTTTCCGTTCTGAGGTATTAAAGTTCTAGAATTTTTCGTTTAATATCTTAAGGAGAAAACATTGTTTGGAGATAAAATTTTCAGGCGAAATACCATCATATAAACTAAACTTCTAGTAAAATATCTATTGTCATGAATAGAAGATCTAAGAGAATATATTATTTTTTGAAGTTTTTCGTATTTCATTACAGTTTATCTTATGTACAGAATTTGAATATTCAAAAGCACTTGATCAGTTGAATAAGAATATAGTTTTTAATTTTTATGTAAATAAAAATTTATTTTTGACAATAATTGAGACAAATTGTTTTTTTTTTTTGATGATGGAAAACAATTATTTCTATGTTAATAGAATATGAAATTCTGCATATTTATGTCTATTTATTTTGTTGAAATGTAAAAAAAAAAAGTATTTTCGTGAACTAAATAGAACATTTTAAATAATCACTATGATACCCCATTATCTTGTTATTATAAACTCAATATAAAAATTGATATCGTTTTTCATTTTCTATCAATATGACATATCGATCATATTCATCAGTTAATTTATGCAAAGTTCGTCAAGTATGATATTGTACCTGCATAATCTAAGTACAGGCAGTATATGATAAAATAATTATTATTGAAAATATTGAAAACTAATAGACTATCCACAAAAGTTTATTCAGTTTACAAAAATATTTTTTTTCTTCCATGATGATTACCCAACGGGGTATAAGATTTGCGATCTTATTCGTCATTGTTATTTAAATGTTAAATAATTCATCTAGTAAAATCAAATCAATCTATACGAAAATAATGATTATATGCTATAAACGTTTTTCTTTTTTTTACTTTAGATTTATTTTTAAGAAATCTAAAAACAAAACAAAGCACACACACATACACAAAAACAAAAAAAAAAGAAAAAGAAGAATTGAAATGTATATATATATATATACATAATGTAATTAAGTTTATGACAAATATCTTTGATTTGTTTGAAAAGTTTTCTATAAAACTATTATTAATTATCCAATGCAATTCGGATATAGAGATTAATATAATTGAAATAAATAGTCTATCTCAATAAAAATTAATCATATTTCATATAATTGATTCATCATTAATATTTAATATTCAATTATAAAAGACTCTGCATCACTGGTGTTAATTGTGTTATATCTATATAATTATGTGCTGTAGATTTAAATTCAGTTATTAATTTTTGTATTTTCATTATATTAGTAGTATATTGTAAAAATAATAATGATGCTTTATTAAAACCATAATGATGTAAACAATATTTATATAATAATTCATTATAAATATTTTGTGTTTTAAATACATTTAATGTATTAATATTTATTGTTGAATATTGAAATGTAAAATAATTTGAAAAAAGTATAATTAAAAAAAATATTTTCATTATATTATCATCAAATTGTTTTAAATTAATAAAATTCATTTGAATTTGTTTCATTTCATAATGAAATTCTTTATTAATTGTATTCATCCAATCTATTTCTAAATATAATGGATCATTTGTATTAGGTTCATGATAAATTTCATTATGATAATCATATATAAATATTGAATGTAAAAAAACAATAGTTAATGTATTTAATTTAACAAAATAAACTTGTTCATCTTTATCTAATTGTTGAAATTCAGGTATTTGTTTAAAAAAAGTTATTAAACGCATTGATGATATATAAAGTGGTACACGAAATAATTCTAATGTTGAATAAATTGGTTGAATTAATGGATATTGTGATATACCAGCTGTTTGATTTAATTTAACTGCTTCAGCATATGCATGTTGAAGAAGTTTAATCCTTGACCAATCAATTTCGGTCAAAAGTGTTTGATATATAGTAGTGGATGATGATACGTTTTGAAAGTCTGTAGATAATTCACTATCAGTTTTAGACTAAAAAATATATTCAAAAATTCTTTGTTAGTTTTTAGTTATTGAATAATTACTCTTCTTTTTATTTGTTGTTGATATTCGTTATCATTATCATGAATTTGTTTAAGACGACGATTTTGTTCGATTTTAATTCGTTTTTCTTGTTTTCTATAAGATTTCTTTCATTTTATATCTTTTTCTAAGAAAAAGATATGTTCAACTTACTCTTTATCAGTAAGTATCCATTCTTTACGCATACCTAAATAAAATAAACAATCAAACCAAAATAATTTTATTTAATTTATTTAACCTGTTTGAAGACATTTATCTAGACGACATTTTTTACATCGTTTTCTTTGATCAAATGATATATTACAATTTCCATTACCACAACATTTTAATTTTCCCTAAAATAAAATTTTAAATTAAAAAAAAAATGAAATTTTTTTATCAAAAAAAGAAAAATAACACTAACGGGTGGTCGTAATGCATTTCGACGAAAAAAAGCTTTGCAAGATTCACATGAAATCGCATCAAAATTATAACCTAAACATATTAAACTAAGTTATAAATAAAATTTTTTCATTTTACTTACCATGCGCATCACCATTACAGACAACACATGTTAAAAGTAATTTATAACGTTTACTTGCTGATTTTCTTCTATTTCTCTGTGTTTGTTTTCTTAAAGTTCGATCACTTTCAGTATAATTCGTCTGATTTCTCAGCATGATAATTATTTTATTATAATTATCTAATAATATAAAAATAACAACAAAAAATAAATACATATCTTTATTATATTGAAGTTAATAAATATCACTGAAAAAAAAAACAACAAGATGAAGAAAAAAAAGTATGTTCTCAACCTTGTTTACTCTGATAACTAAATCTTAATGTGTAAGATAAACTTTTTTATTTTAATATTATGTTATCTAGTTTTGTTGATACTATTTTGAATTATTTCTCTGTGTATACATTGTATCATACAAAAATACAAAATACAATAAATAGATAAGAAAACATTTGAATATAAAAGTAATATTTTCTTATTCTTTACGTATTATTTAGTCAACATAGACATATCTCAAGGACAAAAAAATACTAAATATAATTTAATCTAATCAATCGACCATATCATTAAAAACGTAAGCATCATTGTCTATATTTAATATTTATTTATAAACTATCTATTTGAATTTTATATATTGATTATAAGGAATAAATAAAAAAAACTATAATTACTAGCCAAAAAGAAAAAATACAAATAACGGTAATACAACATACGTTTTCGTTTCATAACTTAAATTTAATTATATGACATTACCTTTTTTTTACTCACAATATATCTGAAATAGAAGCTTTAGGAGCAACGAATACACGTGTTATTGTAATCTATATAAATAAAGAAATAGAATATATTAAAAGAACCAACTGATGCACTCTATGCCTTTTCTTCTTTTCTTCTCTATGTTGTACTACAACACACACACTCCAGACATAAAAGACAGAACAGAAAAAAATGCTTTTTTTCCCCTTTCATTCGCATTTTTTCTTAAAGTATAGACAATTTTATAATTATAAGAAAAGTCTCGTAAGAAAATGCTCTGTTGTTTGAATCTCTAATCAACATTTCTTTATTTTTCTTCGATTCAATAAACAAAACAAAATTTAATTCTTACTGTAAAATGTAGAAGAAATCAATCGATCTATAATTGTATTGAAATAAATATTCATCTTTTCAACAAAAAAAGAAAATGCTCGATAAAGAATTGAAAGTCACGAGACAATTCATCGTGCACATACTACGATAAATCAACGTGCAAAAAACGTGATCAAGTTTAGGTTGTTCTTTGTCTACTCCTTTTCGTTCTATAGTAGACACCAAGGATATCTATATACTTATATATCTACAACCTAGAAGAAAAAAAAAAGAAGTATATAAAACCAATGGCTTATAATGGTATGGATAAGGATTAGACCACCGAGAATAGTAACTATCATCTGTCTAAAAGTATTCTAGTCGCATCCATATTTGTAATAGTTGATAAATGAATAGAATAAGACAGTTGCAGTTTTTTTTTTTCATCGGGTAAATAAATTTATTAATTAATACTGTAAATCCTTACTATTTCAAGACTAATTTCTTATAAATCTTTCAAAAACTATATGTCAATATATATATTTAAGTTCGACAAAATTTCTTATATATATAAATTATTTCTCAAAAGAGCTTTTATCATGATTTAATGATACTTATTTTCTTCTAATATTAATAATAGACTAAAATAAACGATAAAATGCATGATATAAAAACAAGATTTATTCTATGAATGATGAATAATTCTTTTATTGTTTAAAGAAAAAAAAACATATTGATCAACATTTATGAAATTATTAATTTAAGACTAAAATATTCGAATCAAATAATCACAAAAATAAGAATATAGACAGCATATATGATGATAAAACAAAGTAGTGGAACGAAATAATTTCACGCAAAAATATGTAAAACTTCAATTTTAGATATGCAACTTATAATAAAGGTCAGTAAACTCTTTTTGGAATGTGTATTACGTTCTACAATAGCGATGTGAAAAATTATTTATTTCTTTTTCGAACAATGAGTATCATTCAAGAACCGTAAAAATTTAAAGAATTTAGCATTTTATTAACTTGTGAAGAGTCTTCGGGGAGATCTCTTCAATAGTTTATAGATTAAAGTACATATTAAATTTAAAAAATGCTATTACGAAGTCTCTAAAAAATTCATATAATATTAAGTCTGAAATCGAAAACTACATTTCTCTAATATTCTTGCCGTCCTTCAATTATTTCTAAAAGAATGACTACGATCATTATTGTTTTTAAATATGTATGATAGAGAAACATCGAAAATGACAAATATATGTGTCATCTAAACAGTCAGGTTGTATTCAGTCTTTAATTAATTTTGATGACCCTATTTAATGGTATTATATTACTCTATTTGATAGGATATTCTATAAATAAAAATGTCATATTTAGTGAAGAACTCGTTATTTTTAGTCAATTCATTAAACTATAAATTGTATTCTATTTAAGCATGCACTCAAAGCATCTGTGTCGTTTTTATCTAAATAAAGCAAAATGTCATTATCTACTAAAGCATATAATACAATATTTTTTTTTCGTCAGTATCAAATTGAGAGCAGAAAAAGAATACTGAAGAATGTCAAACAAGGGACTTCGGCAACATCGTCAGACTACGTGCTAGACTTAATCAAAATCTCGAGAGTCTTCGTTTGATAATCAAAAGCAAACATCGTTATATATTTATAACTCAACACTTTGTTGTTTTTTTTTAAATATGATTCATAATCAATGAGATAAGAATTAAATTTTCTTTAAAAATTAAAAATAGAAATAGAAAATTTAAGCATTGTGAATATGTTATCTCGAAATCGATACATATTATTAATTTAGTTTTTGATTTTTTCTATGATATTTAAATTTTTGCAAATATAATAAAATTAATCATTCTATATTTGTTTTACTTTGTTCTTTATCGTTTCAATTGGAATAGTGTTTTCTTTTTTTTGTCTATGACATATTTTAGTTAATATTCATTATTTATTAGAATCATTTTTGCTGAATTTTATTCTATATTTACATATTATATTTTGACAAACTTATTGACTTTTTCTTTTTTTAAATACAGACAAAGTATATCCACTCATTTGTAATAATATCATTGAAAAAAAAAGCAAAGAAAGAAATCACTCTTGCAATCTAATCTCTTTTCATTTTGTGCATTCAATTAAATCTTACATATTTTGCTGTCGGATATTGCTAAGGACATGCACATGTAAGATTAAGTTTCCTATAAAATAGTATTTGAAACAAGAAAAATTATGTTGACTTTCATCAATGTAAGTTAATAAAAAGACATCTGTAATTTACATTGATTACATCTGCATGACATCATTTCATTGTACAAAACTAGCTAATATTAAAGTGAATGTTGAATAAATAAATAGGTTGAATCTCTCATTTATAATAATACATATAATAAATCTAGTTCGGATTTAGTTTGATATTCTTTCAGATAAAATGCAAAAAAAATGAAAAATGATTAATGAATTCAATCGATACTTATATTATAATTCGAACTTTTTAGAAATAGATGCAAAGACAATTCAACAAAAACTTAAAACAACATTAGGACAAGACGCTCAATCATATTGAACAGCCACAAGATCAGCAAAGCGTTTTCATAGGAATAGAAAAGATGTTCATGATGATCTTCGATCTAGTCGTCCGATTTCCGAGCTTATATATATAAATATTGTACTGGCATAAAAGATTATCAAAAATGTGCGATGTCATGGTACAACAGAACCAATTATACACGATTGTCTAAAGATGAAAAAAGTCACATCAGGCTAAATGTCTGATCAACTCATTGATGAACAAAAGCAAGAACAAGTTAGAGTTTGTCATGAAAATTTGGTGAAATTGCGTAATGAATCATACTGATTATGGCATATCCCATGGAAATTTTTTTTTCAAAAAACCGCTCAAAACCGCGGTTTTACTAGAGAGAACCGCGGTTTTGATTGGATAACAGCGGTTGATGGCGGTTTTCTGAAACCGCGTTGCTCGTATTCAGGACCGCGGTTCTAAATACCGCCGTATTCAACGGTCTAAAAAATTGCGATATAGTTATTGAAAACCGCGGTATTGCATAATCCGGTATTCAACGGTTTTTAAAATCGCGGTATAGTCCTTAGTAACTGCGGTGGCAAATACCCCGGAACTGAGCGGTTTCAAAAACCGCGGTATTCAGTGGTCTTAGAAACCGCGGTTTTCAGCTGAAGAACCGCGGTATATCTGGTGCTTATACCATCGTAATGGAATGTGTAAGGACGAAGAGGATGTCGTGCCCTGCTATTTTCATGAAATTTTTAAATAAGTTTTCTTATTCTATCTCTCACTACAATGTAACTTTGTGGTAATGGAACTTCAAAAAGTTCACTACAGGGCCCCTCGAAGGGCGGCTCACCTGAACGTTTTCGAAAGTTCAGGTGAAACTGGTCATACCTGAGGCAGGTGTGGCTACGAAAACCGCGGTGTATAGCGGTCCAACAAACCGCGGTTTCCAGCGGTTCAGAAAACCGCGAAAGTCAGACCTTTTATGCGGTTTTTCAAAACTGTCAAAAACTGCGGTATTTGTACACCGCGATCATTACCGTTGAAATAAACCGCAAAAGTCAGAGGTTTTATGCGGTTTTGAATACCGGTGAAAACCGCGGTGTGAAATTATCACGGTTCTTGACGGTTTTGAAAAACCGCATACAAGGTCTGACTTTCGCGGTTTCGGGAACCGTTGATTACCGCCGTTTGTGAAACCGCGGTTTCGAGCGGTTTTTCACAAAAATTTTCCATGGGACTACTACAAGTAATAAGACATGGATTTATCATAGATAGATTAGATGCAGGCTAACTAAAGCAAACTGGATTAGTAACGGTGAATAATCAATGGCTATTGTTCTCAAAAGTAGATTAACATCAAGAACATTGTTTACTCATAGATGCTTTGTTACCGTGCCGCTCACGGAAAAATTTTTCACGAAAAAACCGCGGTTTTTCTCAGATTACCGCGGTTTTTTCCGAAGAATTTTTCCGTGGGCGTTATGGTCGAAAAAAGTCAAATATGGACTGTCTATGTACCATATTTTATCGAGTTCTGTTGTTCGCGGAACACGAACACATTTTACAATGTTTTAAATTAATTTTTCAACGTTTCAAGCTATCTCAATGTTCTTGTGAATCTTTTTTATGGTACGATGCTATGGATCTCTGATTTCTGGAAGTAGATTGTCGAAGGAGCCAAAAAACTCTGAACTCGAAGTTTGATTCAGTGGAAAATCAGAAATTTCCGAATACAAAACTAGAAGTATCAGTTTCACAAACCACATAGTAGTTTATGGTTTTGGAAAAGAAACCAGAAAATGACACTCTTCTAACTGTATGCATTAAATAATATGATCCTGTTCTTATACATAGTATAGATAAAGACAAGACTATAGATCATAAGTATTATATTGAAAATTACTACAAGCATCCTGTCAATATAATATGAAAACAAAGAAAGTCATCAGGTTCCAAAGATACAAAATAACTTCATGACAATGCTTGATCTTATACTTATTCAGATGTTATTAATTATTTTAACACAATAAGGTATCAATGTAATATACCATTTATTATTGTCTTCTAGACTTTGGCTCATGCCATTGTTAGCTAAATAATTATATGAAACGTAAATTAAGTGACCAAACAAATGAATTGGCTCCTTTGATTTCAAAGGTAGTTAAAAATATTACAGAAGGACTAAAAAAAAATTGTTTGACAAATTATTAGAAACAATGAAGTTTTCTATAAATAATTATGACAAATATGTTGAACATTTAATAGAATAAAATTAAAAATATCTCTTTAAAACGATGTTGTAGACTTGTTTTTATTTTTCGATATTTGAAAAATAACAAATGAGAGAACACTACTAAAAAGACTTAGAGTCAATATCATAATAATAAGTGATATTGTGAATTTGATAACCATGATGAACTATTGATTTATTCTTCAATAGAAAATTAACATTTACATTTGTACAACTAATCATGACAAATACATATCGACAATATTGAGTGTTTAAGTATTATCTATCAAATCATCACGTCTGTTTTCACATAAATCGTATCTATGATAATGATAAGTTATGTCTATGATGATTTAGATCAAAACATTTGGCTTGCCAAGCATAATTGTATTGACAAAAGTAAATAGAATCATACAGATTAAATTATACTTGACATGAAATATAGTGTCTTTTTTTTAAAAAAAACATCTCAATATTTTATTTTCAATTGTTATATAGCGAATAAATAATATGGATGAAATAGCCAATTTTAGATAAAATAATATATCGATTCAAGTTTGTTAGTGCTCTTGTAAATATTATTCGAAATCAATGATTGTAGATTCTCGACTATGTTGGTTTTCTAAAAAACTAAATTTCCGAGACGAATCAATATTTTACCAAGATCATTTTGAATTTGCTTAACTTACAGAACATATCGTATTGTCAACAGAGTAATAATTATTTTTCGATTTTCGAAAAATGAACTTCATGTAAAACAATATGAACTTGAAGATTTTCACATTGATATATTGATACATATCTATTGTATGAATAATGATGTTTTTGTTTTCTTCAAATGAAGAAAAACAATGAGTTGATAAAGTGTGTGAGAAGTACGCAGTGGTATTCTCTTTAGCCAAATCCAGTCGAGATTGATCAGTTGAAAAATTTCACTCGTGAAAGCTACTATAAATTACATTTTCAATCAAATTGTTAAAGATAAATACATCAAACAGAAGTAATATGTACATAACATATATTGTTCTCGCTATATATGTTATTTCTTACTTTGCTAAATAAAATAAAATTTTATTTCCAAGCTTGTGAATGTAACTTATTCTATTATTGTTCAAACAACTTAACTTTCTTTCTCTATCTCTCTTCAATTGTATCAGAGAAAAGATGCAAAAGATGTTTTTCGCATATTACCTGTTTTTATAATCGATATTTATTTTTCGTCAAACAAAAATAACATGCAATTTTCTTATTTTTCTTTTTAATTTTATTAAAAAAAACATTATTTCAAAAGTGTGGTTGTTAAGCACTTTGATACACTCTATTTATAATGGATAGTATTAATATATACTTTATCTAATGCAAACAAAATGTGCTAAAACATTTCATTATAGATTTCCATTAGAAACGTAGATTTTCAAATTTGAAATAAAATAAAAGATGTCACTGACATCTACCATATATACTTCAAAATAATTTTCAATATTATGTTTGTTATTTATCTTCACTTAACTCTTACTTATATATATATCGATAATTGATTTGATATTTAAGAAAAAAGTTCCTTTTTTTTGTTTTTATCATAGTTGAAGAGTATAAACTTATTGGTTAATAAATTTATCTATTGAAAATCAAATATATGTAAGAGACTACCGGCCGAACGAAAGGAAAAAAGAATTCTTTTAGTTTTTATTCTTTCTTTTACTTTTTTTTTTAATGCTGTTTGTTCAGCGTAGGCGTTCGATGGCAACAGTCATGTTCTGTCACCCAAAAAAAAGAAAATTTTTTCGACATCCTATCTTAAATATATTTACTCATTGATGATTAAAATTCATGTACTTGAATATCAACTATTTTTTTTTTTGGTTTTTGTAAATGATCAATATAAATTTAAACATCATTAAAAAAAAAGAAAATAACAACATAAAAAATTGATTAATTAATTAATTAAAAACAACATATTATAAGAACTTTTCTTTTTGTTATATTTTTTAGATTTTATTTACTTATTCGTAGTCAAGAAGATGGATGACAACGATAAAAATATTTTTGATGTTCTTGAATCGGTTGGTTGAATTTATTTATTTTTCATATAGATTTTTTGTTTTTTTTTGTATAGCCATCAACTAAATCAATAAATGATTTTAAAATAAAATCAACAACAACAACAATATCATCAAATAGTATACTTTCTATTCGCCGTTCACATCTTCCATTGATGAATGCTGGTAATGGATTTTATTCTACTTCATCACCATCACCGAAACTTCCAGCAGCAGATGAATATCAACGAAAAAAACGAACCGTAAATAATATATATATATATATATATATGGAATTTTGTTTTTTGTTGTTTAGGATCGAGCACTTAATGGTCTTGGTTTTATTAATCCAGGTCCAAAGAATTTAGTTAATGTAGCTAATGTTCCATCAAGACGTACAAAAACTCGACAACCAACTACACAAGAAAAACCCAGGTAAAACTTTAACTTGAAAATATTTCTAAGTAACTTCTTTATTGCATTTTTGTAAAAGAATAATGAAGAAATTTATCTATGATTAGCAATAGCAACTAAATCATGTTTTATATATAAATCCTATGAAAATTATGCTACTCAAAAATATCAGAAATTTTGCATAGAGACAAAAGTTTATTGTGAATGTTTTGAGATTTTTTTTTTTTGATTGAATCTATTCTGAAATAAGAACATGAAAATCAATTGAAACTTTTACAATAAATTATTCTTATTAAAATTTGTTTCAAGTCAAATTTTGAAACTGAGTTTTTTTTATTTTCTGCGAAGGAACATGGTATTCTACTAAAAGAAAAATATCAAACTTAATTCAAATTCTTTCTAGGATATTTACAGTTTATTAGAGTTTACATTATGTACATAATCTCAAATCTTCAGAATGAAAGAAAGTCTTTTGAAGTTTCTTACATACTCCATTTATAGAGTTGAAATGTCAGACACCTGAGAATATCTCTCCTATTCGATAATGAAAAAGATAAATCTTTTACTATCTATACAAATAACTTCAAGATATTTTTGGAGTATTCAAATTAAGTTTTTTTTTTCTTTATGTATGACTTTTAACATTGATATTAATACATATTTCCTTTGTATAAGAATACAAATAGATATATATATATATATTATTTTTCATTTCGGAGAATTTATCAAAAAAAAAAAATTCTAATTTTAGTGCAAATAAACCATTATATGATGAATCAGGTCTTCTTATATGTGATCAAACAGATCGATGTGATTGTAATCGTTTAAAATGTCCCGGATGTTTTATATCTTGTACAAATTGTCAATCACCAAAATGTGGTCTTGAATGTCGTACGTAAATATTATTTATTTAAAATTTTTTAATTTCTTTTTTTTTTTTCAATTAGGAAACAATCGAACTTATTGTTATGAATATCGTTTATACGGTACTAATAAAGATATAATTCAACAATAAAAATTAAGTGCAATATCTTTTTTGTCAATATATATATGTTTTCTTTTTGTGTATACATACATCTATATAGATATATATTCTTAAAACTGATAATAACTTCTATTATGATATGATGTTTTTCTTTTCTTTTTTTCACTTTTATAGATTGAAATATTTCTTATTTTGTTTAACTCATATTGAGTATATTCTAGAATAACCTATGCTCGTACGGAAAACACAGAGTAAAAAAAAATCAACAACTGGTACATCTACTGTTCTACCATTAGACAGTAGTTTAACATCAATAGAATGGTTACCAAATATGCAAATAGGAGAAAATTCAACATCGACAGCAGCAGCAACAACAACTACCGCAACTACAACAATAACAACAACAACATTACCTATTAAACAATCATTACCAACTACAACACTTGTTCAACATAAAATTGAGGCTACTGAAATAGAAATACCAACAACGACTTTTAATGATAATGTTCATGTTAAACCTCCTTATAGTTATGTTACATTAATTCGACAGGCTATTTTAAGCACTAGAATGCGACGAATGACATTAAATGAAATATATCAATGGATTGTTGATTCATATCCATATTTTCGTACAGCACCACCAAAATGGAAGGTTAGATAATCAATAATAATAAAATGATTTATTATATTATAAAAACAAAATTTTATTTTAGAATTCAATTCGTCATAATTTATCATTAAATAAATGTTTTAAAAGACTTCAACGAAGTACAAATGATCCTGGAAAAGTAGGATGATTATAATAAGTTTTTATTTCTTTTTTTTTTATGTTACACATTCATATTAGGGTTCCTATTGGGCAGTTGATGAATCCTATGAAAGTAATAATCAAATGAATTCTCGTAAAAGAAAAGTAAAAAAAAAAACAAAAAATTAAATTCGATTGTTTATTGTTATTTTTGTATGTTAGTTTGATGAGGCACAACCATCTCCTAATATATTACCTTCATCACCAGCTACTTTAATTCAACAAGCACCTGGTATTTTTACAAATAATAATCCAATGATATGTGGTGATATTAGTAGTGTTGGAGGACAATCATCATCAACTGATGAATCAGATTCAACGATGTCTCTTGCAGCAATTGTAAGATTAAAAAAAAAATCATTTATAATATCTTATGTATTTTAATTCATACATCAATAGATTCTAATTTTTGTTTTTAAACTTTATTCTTTCAAAATAACTATTTAATGACTATTAAAATTACCTATAGATAAAAATTTATTATAACCATTATTACTCTTTATTCATAGATTATGAATCTTAATCTTTTTAAGTATGAAGATTCTGAAGATTAAATTTGTATTTCTTCGATGCATTTCCCATTCAATTAAACAAAAAAAAGACACTTTTTTTTTGTCACTTGTATATTCGTTAGAAACGTAAATCAACTCTTTCAAAAAAATTGGACATACTAAAAAGAGACTATGGATAAAAAAATTTGCAGCTTTAGAAATTATCTACAGAATATATATATATATATAACATCTAATGAGATAAAATAGTGAAATACTAGTTCGTTGAATTATACATATATATTCGATAATTTTTATTTTACGTATTAAATTTAAAAATAATAAATTGCGTATTTAAAATTGATACAAATAATCTTTGTATGGTATCTTTTCAAATTTTTGTTTTTTTGTTTTTTGATACAGTTTTATTTCTATTTTCAATGATGAATATTAAAAGTATAATTTTTTATTAGCCTGATCAAATAGGATGGGATGATTTAAATATTGATTTAACTGCTTCATTTCGTCGATTTCGTGAGCAAGTTTTAGATGCACCACCATCTGTATGGACAACAAATTTTGGTATATATATATATATGAAAATTTTCTCTATATAAATTAATATTTTTGAAATAAATTATATTAAATAGATGGATCATCTGCTAATACAATTAATACAAATTGTTGGGGTTCAGATTTATTTCCTAATGGTGAAGCAAATAGTTTTCTTGAAAGTATTAAATTAGCATCAAGTGGAGAAATAAATTGGAATGATATTGATGTTAAACCTTATTGTGGTAAATATTCTTTTTTTTTTTTTGATATTTATTTATAAAATAAAATATTTTAATTATAGAATTTCTTGATGGTTTTCTAACAAATCCAACATTTCAACAACAAGATCGAGATAAATTAATTAATCTTGCTTCATCACTTTCATCATTTTTTGATTATACAGGAATTACAAATTTAGCACAATCAAGAATTGCAAGTAAGATATTTAAAGATGATAATCAATAATCTTTTATAATATATTATAACAAGAACTAAATTATTCTATAAAGACAATAGAAACCATTTAAAAAGAAACTATACTTCCATTTGTATTTTGAACATATCAAATCGAATTTTTATCGAAATTCTTTATCAATAGATGTTTAAAAAATAAAAATAAAAATTCTAACAATGTTTTTCATAGTCTTTATTGAACCAAGATAATAGATTTTATTTGTCAATCTATTTCGAAATGTGCGGTTTCAATGTACTAATTGTTGACCTCACAGAGTTAGTGAATAGTTCGCTGAAACACTAGAACACATCACTATAAAAGATTTATCAAGTTGGTCTCTGAGCGTTGCTGAAAATATACATGTCAATGCAAAGATGTAGTGGCGTAAACAGGGTAGGGCTAGGTTGAGCTCCGCCCAACCACCGCCGTTAACTTCGTCAGCTAAATTTCTCACCCCACAGACCTCATTCACCAGACATTTAAGCGACGCTAAGCCCTACCACTGCCAAAATCCTAGTTACGCCACTGCAAAGATAGTACCGGTCTGAAATCTGAACCGAATCACTGCTACTGGGTTCATTCCAGAGATGTCCATCGCGGCTGAAACTCTGCCGCTGCCGCGCCGCGACATTAGAAAAAAAAAGTTACCACGCCACTGCCGCGTCGCGATGGTTTATAAAAAAAAGTCACCGCGCCGCGATGGTTTTCAAAAAAGTGTTTCGATTTTCACTGCTGCAACTGTATTGGACCAGAAATATTGGTACTAGTCCATCAGATTCATTCAGTCTCGGGGTGTTTCATTTGTAAACAATGAAATTCTATTAAATTCATGCAGTTTTTCAATGTCCTCGAAAAACATGCTGCCACTGCCGCGATGAGCTTTTAAAAACTCTGCCGCTGCCGCGATGAGTTTTTAAGAAACCTGCCGCCACCGCCACGGCGGCAGCGGCAGCGCCGCCATGGACATCTCTGGTTCATTCACGATATATTTATCCAAAATTTATTAAGGATAATCTCCAACGAAACTGTACTGTATGTATTTCGTAAAATACGTATCATTTACATTATGTGTAAACTATACATCCTTGAATCTATTGATATTTATTAAAAATAAACTTCAAATATTTTATAATAATAATAGTTAGATATATTTGTTTTTGTTTTATTTTATTAGATGAATCATTTACGGGACATCGATTATCTGCTGTATCAAATAGGATAACATCAGAACCAGTTAATAATGTATTAATCTTCTTCTTCTTCTTCTTTTGATTTTTTTTTTTTAAATTATAATATATTTTTATTTCTAGTCTAATCCACTTCCAGTTGTAATTGAAGATGAGCCAGCATTCGATTGGGATTCAATAGCTTAAAAATATTGTATCAATTCGATTGTATATAGACGGACATACGAGCATGCATAATTTTCTCTTTTTTCTTTTGTCTTTTACTCTTTGTTTTTAAATTAATTTATCAAATTAATTTTTTTTTCCGTCCAAAAATAAAGCAAAATGTAGAAATGCTCAAGAGTATGATGATTATCATAGTTTTTATTTGTATACTGTTTTGTCTAACTAATGCAATAGTTTTTCCTATATTGTACAAAAGAAAACTAACAAAAAAAAAAGATATCATTATGTTTTGTGTTTATCATATTCATATTTCATTCATAAGCTATGTTTGTGATTGTGTTGGGTTTTCTTTTTTTCTTTGTACAGTGATCAGCCGGTGTGCGCTTATTATAATCATTTGTCGTATTATACAAAAAAAAAAAGAAACAATGTCTGTCTACAGCACCATACCTATGTAGATTGTTTTGATCAAAATAATAAAAAAAAAAGAAAAACAAATTTTGAAGATTGTTTTTATGTAATACAACAAATGGTAAAGAATGACGGTGAATGTTGCGAATTTTTTTTTGTTAAGGACAAATGATACCTTCTAATAAAAAAAAAACAAAAACAAAAAATGTACTTCGTAGAAAATCATTTTAACTTTCAGTTTAATGTCAATCATAAGTATGCTTTGGTATTTGATGGAATCAATTTGGTCTGAATTTTAATAGTAAAACGTTAGCGTAATATATGTAGTATTAAAATGTGCAATACGAAATCGTTACTGCTATTAACCACAGAGAGATATTGGACTGCTCTATCTTTTTAGGACGCATTTTTTTTTCATCACTTTTTTACTGAATTTTCCAAAATTGGAATATGAAAGTTGTTCATATTTGTTCAAACGAGATTTTATTAATATAGAGTCTTTGATAGTGTATATCAACGACTATCACAATCTATGAGAAAAGGTACATGTAATTTATTCTTATGAGCAAAAGAAAAAAAAAATCTTGCTTGTTGTCTTATTCATTTCTTCAAATGAATTTTATTCATATATCAAAATCAGATAATATAAAAATAAGTTATCAATTTTTTTAATAGTCTTCAATTGAATACAAAATTTCTATATATAACTACATTTCTAAAAATAATTTTTTTGATTCTCTAATCATGAAAAATTCTATATCAAATATGTCAACAATTAAACATTATCAATTAAAAGTTTATTTAACCATTTGAGGACGGAATGTTTTTTTTTTCAATCGAAAAATGGTTCTTCAATCAATCTATTGTATTTGGCTTAAAATGATCAGATAAAAATCTGATGATAATGCATCGAGAGAAGAGAGAGAGAAATCATACGTTACTATATAGTAGCAGAAAGAAAGGCAGACATCTGAGAAGGATTTGTATGACAGAAAGAAAGAAAGAAAATACCTGTATGAGGTGACAGATAGGTGACCTATTTACCTTGAAGATTGTAACAGTTTAATATAGAGCAAACATTTCCTGTACTAAAAAAAAGGTAGGACAAATATGTCCCACCGTCCTCAAAGGGTTATTCAGCTATAATAAAGATTTACATTTGTCATGCTTGGATTAAATATTATTTTTCAATTTAATATTACACCCTAGAATATGTAATTGAATTTATAACTTTAATAAACTTTTACATAAGAATATTAATATATATATATTATCTTAATGTAACCACATACGTTATTCGTTATTTTTTTTTTTCTTAATGAATTAATGATTATACAGGTGTAGGTATGACATTGAAAGCTGCTTTTGAATATTCTTCGCATGTTTTTTTATTAACTATACAAAACTATTTCATAAAATATTTATTTAAAGAAAAAAATTTATTCATCAAGAGATTGTAATTTTTCACGTAACTTCTAAATCAAACAAAGAAATACTTGTCATAAATTTAATATCTAATAATAAAAGTAAATAAACATTCAAGTGAGATTATTGTCATATCTTATTAAATGAGAAAGGAGTAAAAAAAAAAATCAACGAATAATTATCATTATAAAACTAATATTCATGTTAGTGTATTCTTCACAAATATGACTTTTTGTAATTGAATTTCAATCTCAATCGTTATATTCGATACTTGATCGAAGTTAATCATCATTATAATCAAAATATGATTTTCAAAATTTTTATGTTAAATGAAAAAGTATACTATTGAGTTTCTTTCGTAAAATCATCTCAAATTTCACAACAAAAAAAAACTGACTGATTCAGAATTCATTTAATGTCTTTCAATATTTCAATTTGAAATTTTTGTTACATATATATGAATGTTTTTTTTTTCTCTTAGAATTATTAATATTCACCTTTTAGATAATTTATTTTCCACTCGATATATTCAGTTATCTCTTCATATGGTTCATTAAAATCTGTAGATGAATTATTATTATTTTTTTTCTATTATTACAAATGAATTCTTTTAAGTAACACAAAAATTGTTTTCCACTTCTGTAATATTTTTTTTTCTCAAGTATAATAAATTTCTCGATTATAATCAAATCGATTTTCACTTCGATGTTTTTATATACAAAAATTAATAGTTTGATAAAAGTAAAAATATTTTGTAACATCGAGATAAAAAAAAAGAAAAATGTTCGTTCAGATTTAGATATAAGATTGTATATGAGCAATATGTGTGAACATTTTCTTTTCATATCTGGCACCTGAACTGATCCGAATCAGTGATTCGAAATGAAAAGAGTATTCAATCTAATAATTTATGTAGAAAAATAGTTATAAAAATCTGTTAGCTTCTTATAACAAATAATGTCATTGCAAAATATTTATGACATTTTTGATATTAAAAAAAAAAACCTAGAGTCTTATTTCTAACAAATAATAATAATAATAATGTTTTTTTTCAGTCGGGACATAAAAAAGAAAGATTGTCTTTCATTGTGTTAATTTCTTTTTAAGAACATTTATATTAATCATCTTTCCTTTTTTTCTTTTTTGAAAAGATTATATTATTACTCGTATGAATAAGCTCTTCAAGATTATAAATAAAATATATTATTAAGAATATTATGTGTAGTTACATATAAGAAACAATGAGCCGTAAGATAATATATATATATCCATGTATATTTGAAAAAATGAAAAAGCATTTTATATATTAATTTAAATATTTTATTTTATTTTATATAATTTATTTATTAGGATTTTAGAGAAAATGATTTGTTAATGACGATATCAATTTTTTTTATAATAAAAGTTATTTCTAGAATTAACGACAAATACAAACAATGAGAGAAGCAATAGTCATTGAATATGATAATTGTACTTAATTGTTGAGCATTTGAAAATAGACTCTTAAAAAGCAACCTTTGTCAGTTTGTCGTGAAGAGCCATGGCCATAAATTTTATCAATCTAATTTTTAAAATAAAATATATATATATACCAAGATTAGTAAACAAAAAAAAAAAACTTTCTTTTTTTTTTCTCTACCTCTTCGATTGACATACGAGTACAACTATTAGCACATTCACATACTGGACCACAATCATCAGAAGATTTCTTTTTGTACTAAAACAAAAAAAAACTTGAAATTCTATTGTAATATTAAAAACAAAAAGAAACTTACAACAATTGGTGGATAATCTTCAATACATATGTCACAAGCTTGAAGACAAGCAATATCATCAGGACGTATAATAGATGAATCAGCCATCATTGATTCAAATGATGTATCTATATGTGACGATGGATATTGTTGCTTCTCATCATTATCTGTACTATGAATATCATTTCTTTTGGCATTAATAAATTTTTTCACAGTATTTTGAATTGTATGTTGTTTTTCATTGATTTGAAAAAATCGATTTAATGGATGATTATGAAATTTCATATCATCAATATTAAAAGCCATACTCAAACAAATGAGTATAGAAAGTGAAACGAAGAAAAAACTAACCATATTTATTTTTTAATAATTCTATTCTAAAATTAAATAAGATATATCAATTAATTTATTAACATATTTTATTCTTATTAACTTTTCTAGTTAATTTATTCATTTATATTTATATTAATAAAAATGTCTATGATCAAAACTAAAAAGTGAAAACAACATATAGATAATGTTTTTTTTTTCTTTCTATTTAGTTAATAGTACAAATGTTAATTCTTCAAATAATCCATATTAAACTAATTTATTTAAAAATGAAAAAAACAAAAAAGAAAAAGTTCTCTTAATCTAAAACATTTATTGTACATCCCTAAGCACTTTTTAATATACATTGACTTAATAAATTAAAAAAAAAAGAAAAACTGTACTGAAATGTAAATGTTTTTTTCAATTGCTCGAGAAATAGTTTGACTAATTTCTTTTGTCTAATATATATATGTTTGATTAGTAAATATCTAATTATTATTGAAGAATAACATCGAAAGTATGATAAACTCGCATGAATTCTTTGGGAAATCGGAAAAGTTATATGATGATAAGTTTCTAAATGTAATTGAAGACAAACTTACTAGAATATATCTGCTAGATGAATAAATGAAGTGAAAATAAATTTGAAACGAGCTTTAAAAAAGACAAATATATCGTAGTTGTTTTCTCTCCTTTTTTTTTCTTTATTAATGAGAATAGATTAAAAAGAAAAAGATAGACACTTGTTCATTCAAAGAACCAGAGAAAAAAAGAAAAAGAATAGCAAAAAAAAAAAATCTTAACAGACATACATATATTTTTGTTAGTTAAATCTAAAAAGCAGCTTTAGTACGTACAAAAATATTCGTTCATTTTTGAACCAATTACATATCGAATTTATTTTTTTTTGTATTGTAGAAAAATTACATTAAATAATTGTACAACAAACTACTATTATCTTAATATAATTTTACTAATTTCTCAAAATTATCAATGTTAAAAGTAATAAAATAATTATTTTCTATAATGTACTTTATCATAGATGATAATATTTAATAATTTAGAAGATAAAAAAATGAAGTATATTGTCTTTCAAGAATTCTATTATTTCTATTCATT